TTTTCCCCTACTTATTCAATCTATATGCTGCGCAAATAATCTGAGAAGCTGGACTATATGAAGAAAAGCGTGGCATCAGGATTGGAGGAAGAATCATTAACAACCTGAGATACACAGACAATACAACTTTGCTTGCTGAAAGTGAGCATGACTTGAGGCACTTACTGATGAAGGTTGAAGAATACAGTCTGCAGTATGGATTATGTCTCAATATAAAGAAAACAAAAATCCTCACAACTGGACCAATGAGCAGCATCACAATAGATGGAGAGAAGATTGAGGTTGTCACAGAATTCACGTTGCTTGGTTCTACAATTGATGCCAATGGAAGCAGCAGTCAGGACATTAGACGATGTGTAGCATTGGGAAAGTCAACTGCGAAGGAACTGTTTAAGTGCTGAGGAGCAAGGATGTCTCCTTGAGGACTAAGGTGCGCCTGACAGAAGTCATGATATTTCCAATCGCCTCGTATGCATGTGAGAGCTGGACAATGAATAAGGAAGACCAAAAAAGAGTTGATGCTTTTAAGTTGTGGTGCTGGCGAAGAATGCTGAAAGTACCATGGACTGTTAAAAGAACTAATAGATCTGTCCTGGAGGAAGTGCACCCGAAATGCTCCTTGGAAGCGAGAATGGCCAGACTTCGTCTCACCTATTTTGGTCATGTTGTCAGAAGGGACCATTCCTTGGAGAAGGATGTCATCATGCTTGGTAGGGTGGTGGGTCAACAAAAGAGGGGGAGGCCTTCAACGAGACGGATTGACACGGTGGCTGCGATGATGAGCTCAAGTATAGCAGGGATTGTGGTGCTGGCGCAGGATCGGCCAGTGTTTCGTTCTGCTGTGCATGGGGTTGCTATGAGTCTGAAATGACTTGATGGCACCTAACAACAACAACAACAACAACATCTCTATGGTAGTAGATTGCCCAATCTTCCTTCCAAGGAGTGGCTGGTGGGTTTGAACTGCCAGCCTTCTGGTTAGCAGTCAAATGTCTTAGGAACTATGCAACCAGAGCTCCCAGAAGGAATTCTATGGGTGCACAAACTTGTAACTGTGTATGTGTGAGTGTGTTTAAGCCCACTCCCTCAACTTTATACAAAAATGGTAACATGCTATTCACACTGTTCTATGTCTTAACTTTTCTTCACATAACAATATACCTTAGATATTATTCCCTATATGTACCAATGGAGCTTTATAATTTCTTTTTACCAACTGAATAATGCTCCTCTCCTTGGATGTATCATAGCTCATTTAACCAGTTCTCTTGCTGGGTGACACACTGTCTTTCATTTTCTGCTATTAGAAACAGCTGTAGCTTTGGACATTTTCTGTGAGGCCAGTTCTTAGAAATGATATTAATGGGTTAAAGGATATATGCATCTTGACTAATGCTAGAGAGCACCAAGGTGGGCCCCGCACAGGATGCTGCAGTCAACACTCCTGGTTCCAGAGCCACACAGTGTGACATCAAGCATCATATCCTTCGGCAGAGCCATTTTCTTAGCAATAAATCTGTGTGCTACAAGCATCTCCCCCAGAAAAAAGTTGGCCAGTGGGTTCCTGAGCCACCAGTGCCACCCCATAATCCTGAGAGGGAGTGGTAGGGCCTGTGGGCCAGGTCTAAAGTGCAGGACAGAGAGGAACAATCAATCATGCAGGGAAAGCCCCCCTCCCCTCCACTGCCCCAATCCACTGTGGGAAGAACCTGAGCCGGAGGTGGGAGACTTGGGTTCTAGCTCAACATCATCAGGCAGGATGACCCTCAGCAAGTGCCCCTTTCAGAGCCTCACTTCCCCATCTGTGAAATGGCTCTAAAGGACCCTGCACGGGCTCATCAGAAAGGATGGGATGTCTGACTGATTATTATTACCTCTCGGGCTGAGGTTTGGGTGGGCAACCTCATTCCTTGCCTCAGACCCATCTTCCTCCTGGGAGTGACTGTGAGTTTCCCAGGCATTTTAAAGGACTCTCACCTACCGCAGCCTAGCCCAACCCTCAGGAGCTTACTCTCCTCATGACTGGCCTCTCCCTTCCCCGAAGTAGAAGTTAGGGTGGTAGTGCTATTATTTGAGCTTCTGTCACCAACACTTAGTGGGGCTCCATGGGTCCTATACCTGATGTGGGAAGAATTGTGCACTGGAGGAGAGAGTGAGCACTTTAGACCAGGTGACATAACTGCCTGGGGCTTCAGTGACCAGGGAGGTTGGACTAGCGGGACTCATACCACCAACTGTCACCACGTCACTCCAACTCATAGCAACACCATGTGTGTCACAGTAGAATTATGTTCCATATGGTTTTCATTGGCTGATTTTTTTGGAAGTAGATTGCCAGGCCTTTCTTCCAAGGCACCTCTGGGTGGACTTGAACCTTTTAGTTAGCAGCCACGTACATTAACTGTTTGCACCACCCAGGGACTCCAGTGGACTCATGAGCCATCTTTTATTTGGACCTCAGTCTACCACGTAACCTTCCTGAATGAAATACAGTTTCTTCCTTTGTGAACTGGGAGGAAACTGAACTCCCAGGACTCCTACGGCTTCACTTCTGTGACCCGATGGAGCTGTGGATTCAGAGCTCTGCTGGGCTCCTCTGGTGGTGGCTTTAGGCAGAACTGTTTTTGAGGCGACAGTGAATTTTCTAGGCCAGGGAGGGACTCTGTCTGGAGCCAAAGCCTCAGTAGCCACTCCCTTGGCTCACACATGGGGCTTGGCCTGGCCGAGGGCCAATGCTTGTCCCGTGCTGAACCGGGCAGCTGAGCTGAGGTCAGTGGTGTGGACGCGTCCAGTTTGGTTCCGCCACTCTGGCAGGAAACCCAGGAAAAAGCAGCCCAGAAACATCTGCTGTCTCCTGTTCTCCGCAAAACCATTTGGCTCATGGGGAGCCCAGTGGCGGTCCTGCCAAGCTGCGTGGGCTTGGTGGAGCGGGTAGGGGCTGGGATGGGGACAGTTAGTGCAGGGGTGCTGAGGGACAGGCAGGGCCTGAGCTGTGACCCATGGAGATGGAGGCTGGGCTTGGGGAGGGTGCTTTGATGAAGTGGGAGAAGGGTCAATGGTTATTCAGAGATCTACCCTGCTCTGGTGGGATGTGTGTGTGGGTCTGGAAGTACTTGCCTATTTATAGCCATGTGCTCAGCATCTTACAAAGGAAACTGGGTTTAGCCAGTCTCTGACACTAGCCTAGGCCAAGCATGACTCTTAATATTCTCTCCAGATGGACCTCTGATCCCAGCCCCAGAGAGAGCCCTGACATTAACCCCAGATGCTCATCAAACCCAGCATTTGGCCCCAGGCTGAGCCACCTGGAAGCCAAGCCTCTCTCCTGGGTTACTGCAGGTCTTCCTGTGTTTCCCCTTCCCTTCCTCAGTCTGTTTTCCATGCTATAGCCAGAGTCATATTGAAGTCAGATCTCGTCTCTCTTCTACAATGGCGCCCATTCCAGTCAGACTAAAAGCCACAAAGCCCTGTGGCCTCGTCTTGCTCACTACGCCTTGCTTTACCACTACCTCCTCAATGGTCATCCTCAGACAAGGTAGATACACTCTCACCTCAGGGCCTTTGCACTTGCTGTTCTCTCTGCCTGGAACTCTCTTCCTGCAACCTCTCCCTCAGGTCTCTCACCTCCTTTAGCTCTATGCTCAAATGTCCCCTTCCCAGTTAAGGCTGTCATTGACCAATCTGTTTGAAACCACAAACCCTCCTCCCTAAATTCCCTGCTTTCTCTTCCTCTAAAATACTTATCAATGAACATACCAAATGTTTACCACATTTACTTTGTTTTTGTCTGTCTCCCTCCACTACAGCCTAAGTATCACGAAATATCAGGAAGTTCATTCTGCTCCTGCTATACCCAATGCTTGATTTACAGCAGGGGCTCAGTAAATATTTATGGAGTGAATTGACTCACTCCTGCTCTGTGCTTGCCTTGTTTCCATGGGGCACAGATGGGTATGTGAATGGCAGGGAGTGGGTGCAGCCCCAACTCAGGGCGTGGTGTCTGGGACCAGGGCCTCTTGCAATTCCTGAGAGGTCCTCAGGGTCCACCAGAGACCCCATTCCTTTCTTTCTGGCTTTGGGGCCAGTAGCCGCCAGCCATTCCTCAAGAACAGGTGAAGCTGCACCCCAGGACAGTTCCTGCAATCCTGCTGTTTCCCCCTGTGCCTGTAGTGGCTCCTCCCGCTGTCCTTCTCATGCACAGCAGAAGAAGCAGTTGTCATCTCACTAGTCTGAAACTACCCATGCCTGCCTACTGCCCCCTCCATGTCACTGCTATTCAATCCCCTGGCCCAAGAACTCCCGAATCAGAACTCCCTGGGGAGCTTGTTGGAGTTCCTGGGTGGTGCAAATAGTTAATGGGCTCAGATGTGAAATGAAAGGTTGGAGGTTTGAGTCCACTCAGAAGGGCCTTGGAAGAAAGGCCTGGCCTGGTGATCTACTTTCAAAAAATCAGCCATTGAAAATCCTGTGGAGCCAGTTCTACTCTGACACACATGGAGTTGCCATGAGTCCGAATCGACTTGATGGCAGCTAGTTAGGGAGCTTGTTAAGATGCGAATTCCAGGCTCCATTCCCAGACTATCTCCTTAAAATAGTTAGGGCTGTCCTGGAGAGAGTCCATTGTGCCGCCACATCTGAGAACTGCTGGTTGAAAGCTGGTGGAGCTGGCCATCATCATAGGGCTCTAGGTCAGTGGGTTGAAGCTCCTACTCCATCAGCTACTTGCTGTGTAATTCTGAGCAAGTTGCTTCCCCTCTCTGAGCCTTGGGCCTCCTTCTATAAATAGGCATGAGAGCACTACTTACCTCTCAGGTTGTGAGTCTCCAAGCCTGAGCCTGGAGGAGTGATTATTACCTCAGGACTGGGGCATATGTCCTTTCCCACCTTGTGGTCCTCTTTCAGGGGTGCCTGCATTGCTCTTCCTCCTGGTGGGTCCTGCCTGGGCCTTTTGCAGCCTCCCTCTTCCCCTCATCTCCCCTCTGGCCCCATCTGCTTCTCAGGTAAGACCCGGACCAAGGACAAGTACCGCGTGGTTTACACTGACCACCAGCGCCTGGAGCTGGAGAAGGAGTTCCATTACAGCAGATATATCACCATCCGGCGGAAATCAGAGCTGGCTGCTAATCTGGGGCTCACTGAGCGGCAGGTGTGTAGGTCCCCCCACCACAGCCATAGGAGCAGTGAGGGAGTCTGGCCTGCAGGCTGCCAGGCAAATTAGGGAGCTCAGTCAGGGGAGGAGGACAGAGAGGTTGAGCTTCTGGCCATGGTCACACAACACGGTAGAAACCTAGCTGCTGCAACCTCCCACTAAACTCAGTCCCTGCTCCCCTAAACAGAGGAATAAGGAGATCTGGTTAGCTTTGGGCTAACGCAGGCTGTAATCAGTGTAAGAGGAATAAGTGCTGATTAAATCTAGAGGAGGGAGCAGTTGTAGAACAGAAAGGACTTCCTGGAGGAGGAGGTGTTAGACCACGGCTTGGAAGATGAGGAAGAAGTTTACAGAGTAGGGTGTCTGAAGGGCAGCGGGCCAGAGGAAACAAGGTCTAGAGGGAGGAGGGTGTGTTTAGCATCTCTGAGGGCTGGGTGACTAGGCCTCAAATGTCACATTGTGGAATGTGAGTCTCAACCACCCTCCCTCTTTTCCTCTTTTTCTGTCACTGTCTCCTCATCCCTGCTCTCCAATCCCACAGGTGAAAATCTGGTTCCAAAACCGGCGGGCAAAGGAGCGCAAAGTAAACAAGAAGAAGCAGCAGCAGCAGCCCTCACAGTCACTACCACCAACCCTTGAAGTCACCCCGACCCCAGCTGGGCCACCCCTGGGGGGCCTGTGCTCCAGCTCTGCCAACCTCCTGGGCACCTCCTCCCCAATGCCTGTCAAGGAGGAGTATCTGCCATAGGCCCTGCCCAGTCTCACAGGCCTGGGGACCTGGGGACTCGGGTACTGGGACTGTGCCTCCCACAGGGCCCAGGAAGTCTGGTCTGAGTTCCAACCCAGCCACTGACCTTCTGGTTGACCCTGGACCAGTCAACCACCCAGCCCCTGCATCCCCTTGGCCCATCTATGCAGTGAGCCTATAGATAAAAAACTCTCCCAGTTCCTGGGTTCCAGGCCTCAGGGGGATAAAGGAGCTCAGGAGGGAGTCTCAATCTCCTTGGGGAGGGAGGAGTAGCTCAAGCCCCAGAGGACTGATCTCAAGGCCCTAAACCCCATTTCCATTTCCTGCTCCACTAGTTCAAGGGGTAGGGTGGGTGGCCACACTAGGGAACAGACAGAACCTGGAGAAAGGGGATAGGACTGAAAGGAGATGAAATGCTTGTAGATCTGACCTGAGAGAGGAGGAGTGCATTCAGTTCAAAGGTCCTCTTCCTCCCCCCACCCCCATGGTGTCCTGCCCCGAACCCTTTCCAGGTGGTGCTAAGTACAAAGCCTGCAGGAGTGGGCCTGGGGAGGAGGCCCTGAGATTGCCCCTCTAGACTGCAGAACCATCTCCTCTCTTTGCCGTTCTCAGTGGGCCTCCAGGTAGGGATGGAGGAGCCTGGAGGGGAAGAAAGAACCAGAGTCCACCGGGACAGGTGTCTGCTACCCTACCAGGCTGACCATTGAGACCCAGGCACAGGGAGCCCTGGAGAACTTTCTCTGGGCCAAGCAGAGCTCACAGCCGAACAAGTGTTGTACATAGAGTGGAATCACTCGGATGCAGCTCCAAGAATAAATTGTTTTTCTTCTTTTAAAAAATTTATTGTATAAAAATCATTATACATAGCACTAAAGAAAAAGTTTTAAAGAAGAATAAATCCTCCTCACCCTTCCCTGAGAGCTGCTCATTCCCTTCCAGTCTGTGTAGGCCTGCAACATGATCATGTTTATAGTTCATTTGAAAGATCAAAACGGACGTTGTTAGAATAAGTTATGAGACTGAAGAACTTCAAGTCCATTTTGTAAGTGGATTCATCAGACTCAATATATCAGTCTTGAATTTTTCAAATACCTTCAGTTCAGGTTTTATTTTCAACAGCCAATATCCATTGGGTACCCCTACTGTGCCAGGCACAGCTGAGCCTAGAGAACAAATAATTCCTGCCCCCGGAAGTTCCCAGTCTAGTGGGAGACTGCCCTGGACCTAGATGATGATGCTGTCACAGAATAAGGGCCATGTAGAGCATCAGAGGAGAACAGGGAGGGCTTCTTGCTTATCCTGAAGGGTCTGGAGGCTGCTTGGAGAAGGTGATACTTTTACTAGGCCCCAAAAGACTAATGAGCCCTGATCTGGCCAAAAAGGGAAAAAAAGGCAAAAAAAAAAAGAAGAAGAATATGAACTTAAGTGATAATAATAATAATAAAAAAAAAAACTCCAAGGGAAACTGCTGTCATCAACTCCTTTTCAGAGGTGTCTGTACACTGGACTCTCTCCTTACAGGACTCCTGTGCCAGCTGCCTGCCCCTCTGTTTACTTTTCTGGGAGGTGGCTGGGCCATAAAAAAGTACGCAGCCTGCCTGCCATTGCCCTTTGCTCTTGGGACACATGATGGCAATACATGAGGTGGATCCGGCTGGCACAAGCCAGCACTTCTCAGTCATCCTACCTGTGGCCAGGAGACACCCATGGCTTCTTCAATAAGGCATGGGAACCGTTTGGTACCAAAGGAAAGGACTAGGGTACCAAGAGCAGTGGGAGAAGGGTTGGTGAAAGGGTGGCTGGCAGTGAGTGAATATAATTTTTTAATCTTCAAAAACATTTGCTATGTGACCCTGGGGTAACTACTTCTCCTCTCTGGGCTTCTCTTTCCCTCGCTGTGAAGGTAGAGAATCTGTCAACCATAAAGAAATGGCTCTGGTCAAGTAAGTTGGAGAAGCCCTGAAGATTCAGCTCTTCTGGGAGAGTCACAGCAGTGCTTAACACATCAAAGCCTCTGAGAAATCTCACTTCCAAGACATACCTTGAATTTTCTTTAATCCAGCTTGCCCCATACTTCTCCAGGAGCTCCTAACTAACATCAACTAGCATCCAGTTGAACTCCAGCTACTCAGGGATGCTCTGTGCTGGAGGGCTGCACCTTCTGCTGTGACTCAGGGTTTAGTAGGAGGTTTTATTGTCAGATAGCTTGGGTTTCTACTCAATTACTTCCAAGCTGTGAAACTTCAGGCAAGTTACTTAGTCTCTATGAGCCTCAGTCTCATTTGTAAAACGGAAGTAAAGTACTCAGACCAATCTCAGTTGTGTTTGTCACAGCCTAGCACATAGCAAGTGCCAGTGTTTTACCCACTTGTTCACGGGGTTGTTGCAGCCTATTGTGACATACTGGCACTCCCGACTGATGTTGTAACTACTTCCCCCCACCCAGTGCTGAGGACAGATGGTGGCTGTGAAGATCTGAGGCAGGACCAGCCTGTCCTCAGCCACAAGAAGACCTCCACCTGGCAGGAGGTCAGTGGCCAGGCCTGGCAGGTGAGGTGAGTGGCAGCCACTGCCTGCATAAGAGGTCAGGGGCTGGGTGGGGCCACAGGTCTACTGCAGTTCAAGCTCTACAAGAAAGGAAATTAAGAAAACTTTCAAAACAGTGCAGTGGACTGCCTTGTGAGGTGGTGAGTTCCCGGTCACTCAGAGTTCTACCAGAAGTATGTTGTTAGGTGCATTGAATTGGTTCCAACTCATAGTGATCCTGTGTACAACAGAATGAAACACTGCTCAGTCTTGTCCCATCCTCACAATCACTGCTATGCTTGAGCCCATTGTCACAGCCACTATATCCTTCTCATTGAAGGTCTTCCTCTTTTTCACTGACCCTATTTTACCAAGCATGATGTCCTTCTCCACGGACTGGTCCCTCCTAATAACATATCCAAAGTATATGAGACAAAGTTTGCCCATTCTCATGTCTAAGGTTCCACCATACCAGAGGCTGGGGTGCTATAATGGCTCAGGAAAGGAAATCCGCAGGTCCCATCAGACCTTGCAGCTACCTGAGCTCCAAGAAGTGTTCCAGTTCTATCAGAAATGGGAGATGCTACTTTGCATATAGTGATTTTACTCTTTCCCTGCCTCTCTATAAACATGGTAAACCAGATGGACACAAAGATGAAGATAAAGGAGAAAGGTCCCCATGGTGTGAGTCCAAATATAGCCAGTATTTCCTGGGTGCAGGCCCCACACTGATGCTGAAAATGGGAGATGCACACAAAAGTCAGATCTGGCCTGGCCCTTGAAGGCCCACAGCTTAGCCATGGACTCTAGCAAGGCAGAAGCTGCATATCAGCCCTGTGTCTTGCATACGATTTCAGGTTCCAGAAACAGCCAGAACCTCACTTTGAGAACTTATGGAAGAGCCAACCACACACATCACTGTCAAGGGTTCCTTGTGGACCAAGCAGAGCAGATTACATATCAACTCTAGGGAGCAGCTCAGGGTTAGAAGTGGAGTGGTCTCACAGGGCCTCTCTGTGTGTGTGTGTGTGTGTGTGTGTGTGTGTGGACTGGGCTGTGACTGTGATGGGGAGGATGAGAGGACAGCAGAGCTCGAGGAAATCAGCCTTGTCATGGCAGGGGTGGTTGAGATGCTCAGAAAGTGGGATGTAGAACCAGGAAGCACAGCTTGGGTGGGGGAGGCCTTGGACAGAGAGGCTTTGGAGGGTAAACCTGCCCCAATGAGGCTGCTCCAGAACCACTTTCTCTGAATCACACCAGATGGACTAGGAGTCAGGAACCTAGTTTTTCACAGTCACCAATTGCTGGTGTCGCAAAACACATGCTTCATGGTGATAAAATCTGAGCGTTTAAGCAAATTAAAAATGTTTATTTATATGCATTTAAAAATATCTCCCCATGTAATAAAAGAAAGTACATTTTCATCTGACACTTTCTTTAAATTAGCACGCATCTCCATTTTACTTCTGGTCTGATGTGAGCCCAGGAGAAATAGAGAAGGGGGGAAGGGAAATTGAGTGCGTACCAGTTTGGATTACTAAGTGATTTTGCCAAGTAGTACCTCAACGCCCTTGGAACAGGGGAGAGGGAACAATGTGACAGCAATTGTCAGATGTGCTTGGTAGGTGAACTCATGGCCAGTTGTGGTATTATAAAATTGGGGCTTTAGTGGGTAGATCAATTAATGTGGACAGTGTTCTGTAATAAGTAGGTTCTCTAGTGGCGTAGTGCCTAAGGCATTTGCTGCTAACCAGAAGGTTTGCAGTTCAAACTCACCAGCCACTCCGTGGAAGGAATACTGGGTAATCTACTTCCGAAAGATTTACTACCTTGGAAACCCAAAGAGGTTGCTATGAGTCAGAATCAACTCATTGGCAGTGAGTTTGGTTTTTGGTTAGAACATCTTGGGTTTTTGTTGTTGTTGTTGTTGTATCATTTGATGGAAGTGCAGACTTGCTCAACAAGCACTGTGTTGATGGGAGAGAAGGTGGCAGAAAGATGTGATCTGGAGGACATAGCCGGATAGGCTCAAACTCCTGGATTCCAGGGCAGATCGTTTTTTTTTTCCTAAGTAATTTTATTTTATTTTTGTTATTGAGAGTATAAACATCAGAACATGCTCCAGTCCAACAGTTTCTACATGTACAATTCAATGACACAGATGACATTACTTGACTTATGCAACCATTTTCACCCTCTTTTGCTGAGTTGTTCCTCCCCTATTAATATAAACTTACTGCCACTAAGTTCCTGTCTGTTCTTTGGCGTTGCCATTGTCAGTTTCATCCCATATAGAGAGATCTTGAAAGAATACAATGCTTAAGCAGACATTCTTTACTAGTTAAGTTAAACTATTGTTTAGTTTTAAGAAGACTTCAGGGAGGTTTAAGATTTAAAGATTAATTCAGGGCATTAGTTCTGAGGGTTCATCCAGCTTCTATGGCTCCAGAAAGTCTGGATTCCATGAAATTATGTTCTACTTTTCCCCTCCTTTTGATCAGGATTCTTATATAGAATCTTTGATTACCCTGCCTCTTCTTCACTGAGTGATGTTGCAAGTCCCACCTTTCTTCTCTGGACCTCAATTTCCTCATCTGAAAGGTATGAATTAGATCCATTTGCACCCCACAGCCCCAGTGACTGCCACTTAGGCTCAAACCAAAACCAAACTCACTGCTATTGAGCCAATTCCAATTCATAGTGATTCCTATTGGGTTCCCAAGATTGTAAATCTTTATGGAAGCAGACCGCCTTATCTGTCTTCCACGGAGCGGCTGGCGGGTTCAAACCAGCAACCTTCTGGTTAGCAGCCAAATGCCTTAACCGCTGTACCACCAGAGCTCTCAGTAGTCATCAAATGAAGTGTATACTCAAGGAAAGCTGAAGTCCCAGCCCTGCTCCACATCCCCCCAGGGTTGAGTTCCCCCAGGGCTGGGTCTGCGAGGTAGAGAGAGCAGTCGCTGCTGGGGTTCCTGTGGTTCTCCATGTCTTCCAAAGGATTTAACAAAGCCCAAGTGCCATGGGAGGTGGTGGTTTGGAAGGGCTGCCACCCCTACTATGAGAAATGTGGTGACAGGTGCTGTGGCAGCCCTGGGGGAGGGGCAGGGGTGAGTCCTCACTGGGCCTCCCTGCTTTCAGGGGCCCCCAGCTTCTACCTCTTCCCAGGCATGGCCAATAGCCCTCCTGACTTCAGCACAGAGAGTCAGTGCTCTGTGTGACCTGGAGCATATGACTTCACCACTCTGAGCCAGTTTGCTCGTGTACAATGGAGATGCTCGTACCTGTCTTCCTGGGCTGTTGGTAATAATTAAAAATTAGATACAGGATATAAAAGGCCATCACAATGCACCCAGTAGGACTCAATAAAAGCTCCCCCCCCCCCCAGCTTTCATACTTAAATGGAAGAGACTCTCTGGGGCCAAGTTTAAAGGGAGGAGCAACTGAATGGCACCTTGAGAGAAGAGATGAACCTGGAACATGGCTAGGTCCTTTAACCCAGCCTTTGTTTTGATTTAAACCCTTGCTACCTCCTTCCAAGCTTCAAGAAGAACCCAGGGAGTGAGAGGCAGCAGCCCTTCATCCTCACCTCTTCCCAAAGGCTTCATCATACCCCTTGATGGTACAGTGGCTGTATGATTTTTTGAGAGTGAAAAGCGCACTCTGCAAGGTCCACTAACATACTCTGGTTTGGGCCCAGCAAACCACTGCATACGTTGGAATATATATAATATACCCCACTGCCATCAAGTTAATTCTGACTCATAGTGACCCTTTAGGAGAGAGTAGAACTGCTCCATAGGGTTTCCAAGGCTGTAAATCTTTAAGGAGCAGACTGGCTCTTCTTTCTCCCACTGGGTGGCTAGTGGGTTTGAACTATCAACCTTTGGGTTAGCATCCTAATGCTTTTACCACAGTGCCACCAGAGCTCCTTACACTGCTTTATACTAGCTAATCATTTCCCATCCTCACCTTGTGCTCACTGGACCTTCACAACACTCTTGAGAAGTCAATCAAGCAGGAACTGGCTGTTGGCCCATTTTACAGATGAGTCACAGTGACTTACCCAAGGTCACAATACCCAGGTGCTGATCATCTAAGTCACAGTGGCATTTGTCCTGTCCTTTCCCCTCATCCAAACCTCCTCCCAGATTTGCTATCAAACATGGTAAAAAAGGGGTGTCAAAGACCACCACTAGCCTGAAAGGTCTGACTCTGTCTCACTGGTGTCCTAACTGTGTGACCTTGATAAGTAGCTTAACCTCTCTGTGCTTCCATTTCTTCATCTGTAAAATTAGAGTAATAACACCTACCTCTCCAGGTCACTGTGTTGAGTAAATAAGACACCTACCTAGCCCAGGATCTGGCACACTACCCAAACCAAAAAAAAAAAACAAAAAACAAAAAACAACTCACTGTCATCTAGTTGATTCTGACTCACAGCAACCCCACTGGGTTTCCGAGGACGTATGGAAGTAGACTGTCCTATCTTCCTTCCATCGAGTGGATAGTGGGTTTGACTGCCAACCTTCTGGTTAGCAGTCAAATGCCTTAAGAACTATGCCATCAGAGACATACTTTAAGTGCTCAATAAATATTTATGGACTAGATGGCTGGATATATACGTGAGTAATGACTGTTGTTCTTTCGTTGGTGTGAGGAGGGCAACCTACATTTGGCCAATAAATGTTAACTGATCACCTACTATGTGCCAGCCTCCTTAGTAAATACTTTCTATGCAGAATGTTCCTGAATTCCACACAACTGTGGAGAAGGTTAGATTTGTATTCCTGTTTTACAGATGAAGAAGCGACAGCGCAGAGACCTTAAGTAACGTGGGCAAGGTCACACAGCAAAGAGAAGGTGCTGGGATGCCCGAGCTAAAGGCCCGGGGCATACGCGTTGCTTGCGTCCCTTGTAGCTCATTTGGGGAAACGCGGCCCAGAGGGGGCAGGTCACTTGCTCAAGGTCACGCAAAAGACGATGACCGGGAGCCCCCAGACCTGCGAAGTTCTCCGCGGTGGACCCCCGCCCTCCCCCTCAGCTCTGGTCTCTCCAATCCACGGCTCTGCGTGCGGGGGCGCGCACATCCCCTCGCCTTCAGTCAGTCAGCCAGTCTGTCTGGGTATCTACGCGGGCGCAGCCGTGCACCCCTCCTCAGCCTCAGGCTCTGCGCAAGGAGAAGCCGGGAGCCGGCAGCGCAGATCCGCGCCCTACGCCGGATAGCCAACAGACGGCAGCGCCCGCGCCCTCCGCAGCCGGTGCGCGGAGCCCGCTGGGGCAAAGGCGCGGCGGCGGGCCGGAGGCACCGTCTCTTGAGCGGTCGCTCGCTCTCTGCGCTCGGGAGAAACCAAGCAGGAAAACCCCAGCAACCGGTCCTTCAAGATGAAGACGCTCCAAGGAGCTCACCTCCGGAAGGTAGGGTCCGAGGGCTGGGGCGCACCTGATGAAGCCATGGAGAGGCCCGCCCCCATGAGAGGGTCAGAGAGGGTACCTGGACTGGCGTAGGGCCCCAGGGAAGGCTCGCTGAACTAGATTGCAGAGAGGGGCGGGGACCCATCCAGGCTCCCTACTCCCCCCATCAGGATGTAGCAAGATGGGAACCCCGGGTTCACTGGATAAGGTCCTGCGAACAGGTGTCTCTAGCCCCAGGAGGCACGAGGCAGAGGCTGGCTGGACCCAGACCCTTGCCCCTCCTCAGTCCCCCGCCTATTTCCTCCAGGAGCTGATTGAGGGGGTTGAAGTGTCGACCTAGCCCCATCTGTGTACTCAACACTAAGCAGCTCCGCAGGCCTGCAGAGGGATCCCCTTCTTTCCTGTCACACTTCTGTCCTGAGGGGCCTACCACCTGCTTCCTCTCCGCCCCCTTCATTCTCTGGGCCGCTTTAGCTTCCCCTGCTGGGACCCCAGGCTGCCCCTCAGCTGGCCTAAAGGGAGTTGCAGGCAGGGAGGGGGAAATGGAAGACCTCAGGTTAATGGGGGGCTGGGCTGCAAGAATGAGAGACCAGCCAAATCTATGTGTTCCTGGAGCCCTGGGCCCAGTCAGCATCTCCCCCTTTTGTTCTGTGGAAACTGGACCTTATAGACAAGTTGTTTGTGTGCCTGGGGAGGGGAGTATTGGGGAAGTTTTCTGGCTTTTGGTTTAAAAGTCAGACCTAGCCAAGGAGTTAGAACTCCTGGGTAGGATTTCTGCAGCTGCTATTAACCCTATGAGTTTTGAGCAAGCCCATTTTCTAATTTGAACCTCTGCTGGCCCATCCGGATTTGGGGCACCAAAACAAGCTTATCTCCTTGAGGGGGTAGTAGATGTGAGAAGACACAGGGAATGAGGAATACACTCATTCAAGCTCTCAGTCCTTGGGCAGCTGGTCTGTGGCAGCACTGTGATGAGTGGATGTTTTTTATTCACTGACATGAATGAGCTCTTGCTGCTATTTGTGGGTAAATCTCTTAGGTCCTACCCCTATTCTTTTCCACTCTCTCTTTCTCTCCCCTTTACTCTCCTTCCCTATTAGAGCCCCTGCCCCTCATTGCCTCAGTCCAAACACTATATTAATAGCTCTCTCTTGTGAAGAACTGGTTGGATGGATGCAGGCTGAGAGCTTAGCAAACTCTATCTCGTTTAATCTCAGATAATTCTGGGGCTAGGTTTTATTTTATAGACTTTATAGATAAGGAAACCAAGGCACAGAGGTGCCTTTTCCTGAAGGTGGAAGGTGGGCTAAGCATCCTAGGGCCAACAGGACAAGAGTGAGGCCACCTCCCTTCAGGGTCCCTTTCTTTGCCTTTCAAGGAGAAAGGGGCAGGGAGTGAGAAAATGCCAAATATCAGCAAAGGAACAACACTCGTCAGAGATAAGCTCTAGACTGCGAGTCAGGGGCTCTGAATTCTCATCTTGCTCTGCCCTCAACATGCTGTTTGACCTTGGGCTCATTCCTTCCCCTCCACTTGTTCTTTCCATCTGCATAATGATGAAGTTGGACACCAGATTCCTATGGTCTCCCATCCTGAAGAAGGTTAGAGAGCCTTGGGCTCGAGCAGCTCTACTTTGCTAGCCCCTGACACTGGTAGAAACCTGTATCTACTGGTCCCTAAAAGAGTGAGTGCAGGTGGTGAGCTCAGGTGTAGGTTCCTGTGTTACAGTGGGGTGGAAAATGAGGAATAGGAGCCTCACACCTAGGCGGAGTGTGAAGTAACTCATTAAACATCCAGCCCTGCCCCATTTATTTGGTCGCTTCTCTCTGACTCTGGACCAATCCCATCCTCTTTGTGCTAGCCTCCAGGGATTCACCCTGTGGTAAGGTTGGGGGGCCCAGGTGGGCTCCTGATTGGCTCAGCTTTGGGAGACCCCATCCCTTGTCCCTGGAGCAGAAGCAGGCTTCCCTGTGATTGGGGAAGGAGGGGAATGAGCTGCCAACATCCTGCTCTTGGAACTCTTGTCACCATGGAAACAGAGAACCAGGACCTGCTCTGTGAGCATGGAAAGGGCAGCTTCTCTGGAGGGATCAGAGGAGCCTCATTACCAGGGACCCCTACCAGATGGCCTGATGGGGCTGGGTGAGTGTCAGGGTGACAGGCAGCTCACCACAGAAAGCCAGGGGCCAGCATCACCTGGCTGCTCTCCCATCCCCCACTGGATCTTACCTGGGAGGAAGTGGTTCCAGAGGGCTGATGCTTAAGAATCTGGAGAGGAAGCCTTGGGGAAATAGGGCATTAGATGGGGAGGGAGTAGGTTTCAGGTAGATCTGAGAGGTATAGCTGCTAACCTCACCCCAGCAAGTACCAGATCACAGCTAAAGAACCTTGGAGCTCAATTACTTATTTATCTTTATTGTGATTTAGGTAAAGTTTACAGAGCAAATTAATTTTCTATTCAACAATTCATACACATTTTGTTTTGTAACATTGACTGCAATCCCCACAGTGTAACAGCTCTCTTCCCACTTCTTCCTTGTGTTTACCATTTCCTTTCATCCTTCTTTCCTATCCCTTCCTGCCTTCTTAGCTTTATCCATGGGCAAATGCTTCCCTATTGATCTTGTATGGTTGATTGTTCTAATGAATGTAGGCCTCCCTTGCATTATTGTTTACCTTATAGGTCTGTCTAGGAGCTTAGTTACTTTAAAAGCCACTTTATCGTGCTCTTCATCTTTGTCACCATCATTCATAATCATGCCAGGCTGCTCCCATCACCACTGCCCTGTGGCCCTCAGGCAAGACCACCACCATGTTCATCACCATCACTGACAGTCAACCGAGCACTGTTACCCCAATTCTGTCACCTAAGCCTATTGCCCCAATCCTGTCATCACAGCCAGACACCTTCAATCCTGTAACACATGTCATCTCCTTTCACCATTATCATCCTGGCTGTGCTCGTATGACCAATCCCCAACCACACTACCTCTGTCACCACCTGATTTGTGTATAGACACACACTTGGTCTGGTGCTAGGAAGGGCAACTTTTGGGGAAAGAACAAGTCTGGTCAGTAGGCATTTACTGAGTCCCTGAGCTAAGTTCTGATCTAGTCCTCAGCCACTTCTGGTGCCTCCAATGAAGTCTGTTCGATAAATCCTGCCTCACAGATCATGAGAACCAGAAGGCTCATTAAAAATTACCAAAGACCCTCAGTCCCCAGGTATATCCCAGCATACTAGCTCCTTGAGATCTTTTGCTTAAATTAGAATTTTGGAATACTGCCTATTCTGGCCCCCAGTTGGAAGGTCACAGTGCATATTAGTTCTTTAAAGGATCTGTCAAATCCTGCAGTAGAGAAATCTGTTTTCCTTCATCTTAATGCACCTTTTCCCAAACTTTTTTTAGCCCACAACCCTTTTCTGCTGAACACCAATGAACATCCCAAACAATATGCTTTTGGAAACAGTGATCCAATCCCCTAGTTATTCAGATGGGAAAATCAAGGCTCAGAAGGCACTTTCCTAAAGTCCCAGAGTGAATTGGCACAGACCTGGACTAAAATTAAGGTCTCCTGACTCTCAGTCCAGTATCACTGGTTTCCCATGAGCATTCCTCAGCAGGAAGCAGGGGGTCCTTTCTCCTCTCTGAAAACCACAGACATTAGTTGATAGTTGGCTTCCTTTGCAGTCCTAGCTTTCTCTGACATAGAGTGTGAATCTCAGAGGCAGCAGGAAAGATGTGGGTGCTCCTTTCTCCCAACTCATTCCATGCCACTTGTTGGGAACTGCTCTCTGCATTTCAGACGTCCTGGTATCTTTGGCCTTCCTTTCTGGCCATAAGCCCAGGTAACTCATGGACACACCAACCTGCATCTCTTGGGGCTAGTATCCCAAGCGGCTGGAGGAGGGCCTCCATCTCCCAGCGCCAGCCCAAAGTGAAAGTGCCCAATGGACCTTCCCATCATCCTCAAATCATGGAAAGAGACCTGAGAGACCGCTGCCCTCCATTCCCTCCATGTACTCTTCTCTTCTCCAGTGAAGGAAGATCACAACTTTCTGATGCTGACTGGGTTTAAGTAGCTTTGCTGCTGAGCCAAGATTCACACTGCTTTTGGTAGGCCCCCTTAAGTCACAGGGCCTACTAAAAATAAGAAAAATACTTAGGTCATATGGTTGTTTTGAGAATGAAATCAGGTAAAGTGAGTAAAATGCCTACTGCAGTGAGGACATATTGTTGTTAGGTGCCATGGAGTCATCTCCAACTCATCCCAATGCTGTACAACAGAACACAACTCTAATCCCTCCCTCAGGGCAGCCCACATTCCTTCCAAGTCTTCCTCTTTCGGCGCTAAGGGTTCCAGCTTTTCCCTTTGTCCTCCTGTGACCTCTTTTCATGAGCATCCTCCAGCCTCACCACCTGCCTTTTGGACAGGTCCCAAACTGTCAAAGTCTTTCTTAAAATATGGTGCCTAGAGTTCAGTAGCAACACTCAGACACTGGCGGCTGAAGACATGGGTTTTACCATCATGGAAAACTGAGCTCAAGACCCTGTTCTCCCACTAGCTAACTTTGTAAAACCCTTAGGTGTGTCATGATACCTCTTTGATCTTTGGTTTTCTCAAAATTAAAATGGAGCTAAGTGAAATATGTAGTTCATATGGTTGTTTTGGGAATGAAATCAGGTAAAGTGAGTAAAATGTTTAGTGCAATGAGGTCATATTGTTGTTAGGTGCTATGGAGTCAGCTCTGACTCATACCAATGCTGTGTACAACGGAACAAAACACTGCCCTGTCCTATGCCATCCTCATAATCGTTGCTGTTTAAGCCTATTGTTGCAGCCATGGTGTCAATCCATTTCCTTGGTGGTCTTCGTATTTTTCCATGACCCTCTACTTTTTGCAAGCATAATGTCCTTCTTCAGGGACTGGTCCTTCCTGATAACATGTCCAAAGTATGTCAGACAAAGGATTGCTATGCTCCCTTCTAAGGAGCATTCTG